CATACTGGCTTACTGAGTGAGGTGTGGCCTAACAAGACTAGCGAGGGTAAGTCAGTGTTCTCATTCTCCCAGACAAGTCCGGCACCAATTCACCATCCTGCAGGACAGAGGGCTTGGTTGGCCTGGGCGAGAGCCGATCCAGAATCTAAGCTCCCGACCGCGCGCGTGGATAAGCATGCTACATACCAATACACCACCTCCACCTTCCCCTTTCTGGGACACGGCATGCATTCTACTTCCATTCAGAATTCAGAATCGTGAGTATGTGACAAGACAATCGTGATCACGGCCCGTCGCATGTTCGGGATCCCTAGCGAGGGGGTCGTGTTTGGTCGCTGGCGGGAGGGGCGTAATGCCTTCGGAATAAATTGTTACAGTTTATCCTGTTTCACGTGCGCCATACTCCCTCCTTCGCCGGACGGCAATTGTTTGGGTAAAACTGAAGAATTTCTGGAAAACTTTAGCAAAGTGATAGGTTGGGATCATATAAGGTGGTAGGTAGGTGAGGGATGGGGAACTGAGGGGGGGGGTCATAACAGAAGGGGGAAATTTTGAGGGGAAGACCGTATTCTGTCAAGATTTTCATCAAGGTAGAACGTGTCCTGATCTTTCGTAGTCTACACTGAATCCGACGCTCCAATTGATAGGCTCATGCGAACTAGAAAAACGTCGCGCGCGCTAGAGCGGCAAACAACGATTGTCTTGACCGTCTCCCTGTATCATATCATATTGGCTGAATGCGATATGGCCTATACAATGACCTGCGCCAATACAACGGTTAGCCAAAACACAAGCCACTTGGGTTGGCCTCCCAGACGAATCTGGAACCAATCCACCGTCCTCGCAGAGTAGAGCAACCTGACGAGTCCGAAAGATTGAGAGAAATTGTGGGAGAGAAACAAGCCGCCATACAGGTGAAGTCGAACCAAACACAGTTAGTACTTAAATAGTTTTGTCGTTTCGTTCAATAAGCAATTGCAAAATGTAAAAGTTTCAGTCAGCGGCTGAACACACATTCCGCAAAAAGTTAAAAATAAAAATTTTGACAGCCCCACAGCAAATGATTCTAGAAGCGCCGTGATGAATAGATAAACAAAAGGCAGTCTGACCGCCAGCACGTACTGCCCACCCACAGGTGGCAGCACCTGATTTCGCTTTGCGAAATCGAAAGATTATTCAAAGTGTGTTTTGGTCAATAAGAAAATTATTGCCACATCTTCTGTCACTGCAATGAGAGCAGAGAATAAAGCATGAAGATCAAAGAGAGCAGTCAGGACTCTCTGAACAGATGAACACCCCCGAAGAATAGATTGCCTCCATAATGGTCGAAATCGACCAACCCAAATGACACAGCGACGATTATGCGTAAGTGGCAGTCGGGTTTGGAAGCAACAGAGTATTCGTTATCTGATCAAAAATCGAAGAAAAAAGCGAAAATACAATCGAAAATGGCCTTAATAACATATCTGTAGGAATTAGGCAAGCATGGCATGTACGAGCGACGAAACACGAGAGTGCAAAAGGCAATCAGACGAAGAAGTAGTGAGAAGGTGATAGAGAAAGAGATGAAAGAGAGAGAGAGGAGAGAGAGGCAGAGTGTCGTGTGTGCGTGGTTGTAGTGTGTGTGTTGTGTGTGTTGTGTGCTGTGCGTGTGGTCGTGTCGTGCGGTGTGTGTGTGAAGATGCCAATCCGCAGCAATTGTGGAATGAAGTTGGAAAAGGGAGGAGCGCAACGTTTGGGGGGGGGCCCGATACTGTAGATCTCTAACGTCCTTATCAAACTGTTTCGAGCAGCGGCAATGATCCAGTGTGCAACCGCGAATCTTGTGCCAGGAAACTATACTGCAGTTCAGTTGATTGCGAGCTGTTTCCCATATTTGAAGACAGTCTCTACGGTCAACCAATCCTTAGGCCCATAATCTCTGAGATCGTCCCGTTTCGCGGCTTCCGGCAGCAAGTAGCGAAGGCGTTGCGGCCCTAGGTGGCAGCTCTGTCGCCTCCCACTGTAGCTGTCCCGCCCACCACAACAGAGGCTACTTCTGTCACCAATCAGTTTTTACACAGTGTTTTTTTCTTCTCACTGTTACATGGTGTTAGCATAGCATGACGCGAAGACGATTGTTGAGCACCAGGCGAAGGATATCCCTTTGCTGGCATAAAATGAGCAGTTTCGGAGAGCCCGCACACTGAGGTCGTCAGAAGGTCCTTGCTCAAGTGTTCTCGACGAATTTTTTTTTGCTTTTTCTCCTCTGTAAAGTCACTTAGCAACTAACAAGCAACAGGTTCCTAACCATAAGTAAACGCCGTTATCCACAATATGCACTCGCGAGGTGCTTCTTTGAGCCCGCGCTCAGAAACTGCGATGCTAATGAATAGAAGAATCGGGGGCGCTGGGCAGAAAGCCAACCAAAACGGTAGACGGGATTCGATCGACCCTGGTCCTAACAAGCTGCGAGAATAGGAGAATCGCAGAATAAGGGCTTCTAGTCGTTCTTTTCTCCTGATTGTCCAAATTGACTCTTATATTTCCTTTGTCGCGCATTCTCCTATTTTCCGATCCTCTGCTCTCCTATTCTCCAGGACCGCTAAGTCCAGTGCGATCTAAGAGCGCGTTTCACGGACCGATCGCTTCGATCGCGTGATCCAGCGTTTCCAATGAATGTCCGCGAAAACGCCCAAAACGCCAGTCTCTCAAAACGCCGACGCAAAGTATGAATGCAGCCTTGGGTCGCATTCAGGCTCTGCACGAGTGCGGCCCAACATAATTCTGTCGTTGCGGCGATCTACCGACTGGTGATTGAGCGCCCCCGATAGCAGTCGCGCGATCTGAATGATCGAGCGATCCAAGCGATCGGATCGCGAAGTATGAACGCACTCTAAGTTTTAATTACGTCAATGAAACGGGCCGTCACAATATACTATCATGTATTACCTATCGCAAGAGTTTACGGGAGTAAATGTGATGAGCTCAATAACACATAAAGACGATGTGAAGAAGAAGTGAAAGAAGTGGGAAGTCGGCAGCTCTCCAAATCTACTCTCTACTTCATACGCAATGCCTGCATCGAACTTTCAAAGCGCTCTCTTTCTTGCAAATGTTGAATCGTGGCCGTGGCGAACTATGCGAAATTAGATCCCAAAACCAACACCAAAAATTGATAACCTCCAATGAGTAGTGAGAATATGAAAATGGAAGTTCCAAATGAATATGGAAAGTTGGACAAATAAAGATTTCAGATAGAATTGCTACTAAGCAAAGTACTACTTCAAAACCAACAAGCCGCAATCCGAACATCTTAAATTAATATGTCACGAGAGACGACGCAACAATCAAGAACGAGCAGAAATGTAGGTATAACTGAGCCGGCTCAGAGGAGGAATACTAAAACGCGACAAAACCTTTTTCAGGCTTCTGTACCTATAAACAGGCTAGCGAAGACATCATACACTCTTCCCAACCTCAGAATTTGCGATTATGGAAGAAATCGCAATTCGAATCTACAAAGCGACGTCAATTGATGCGCAAGTGTGCAGTTCACAGACATGCGCAGCAACCATTTATTTGAAATCCATTGGCAGTACTCGTACTCGTTTTGCACTAGAAGCCAGGGCTATTTCGTAACATTACGGGTCTTTCCACTTGCTTTTCGTTTCTAAATCTGTCTCAGAGTAAGCGGCTCCTGGGGAGATCTGCAAGTATGGTCGGAGCGCCAAATTTACCGGTATTGCAGCGTAACTTGTACAAGGCGATTATTGAAGAGTAAAACTGTGTTTCAGAGCTAAAACTTGAGATTTTTAGTAGTGTTTCGTCATATTGTCGTCATTTTCAATATATTTGTAATACCTTTCTTGAAGCATCGTTTCATTTCAAGTTCTTCATTCAGCACAAATGTATTTGTCAAGTAGAGTACTCCGTAGCGTCCCTATTCGTTTTGCACGATACTTTCTTCCGAAAGTCCACAGAAACAGCCCATGATTTACCGCCACAGGTGAGATTTCCATTTTATTTTTTTCTTCTGCATTGAGCCAAGATTTTGACAATTATAAAAATAAGTTTTTTTCATAGGCGAGCTTCCTACCACGCCATTCTAGCTTTTCCTAACGTTTCACCCATTCCAATTTTGAACTTGTTGTTCCACGTTTTTCAGTCACTTTTTGGCATACGAACCGCTCCAGGTTCGAATTTATCGGTTTAGAGGAGTCAATGAAAGCTCCTAGGTCCCCACCAACGCATTTAGGCCTTCCTAACGCCCTGCGCCCCGCGGAATGGGCGAAAGGCATCCGCGAAAATGTTTCGATTTGTAGCGATAAGGAGAAATGGCGAACGCCGGGAGATGGGCAAGACAATCGTAGCTCGCTGTGCCGTCGCGCACGGTGCATCGTGCTGCGATGCGCGAAAATTCCTTGATTCGCACCG